GGATCCCCTGGAACTGGAGTTACCAACAGTTGTTAGCTGCCTTGTGGGTGCTGGGATTTGAACCAGGGTCTACTGCAAGAACTGTTCTCAACCACCGAGCCATCTCTCCAGCCCCAGGGAAAGTTATTTTAAAACTTAGGTAGCAAGACTGAGGAGTCCCACTTGTCACCCAAAGTTTTTTCCTGTCACAGACCTGAAAACCGCATCTCACTGGAGAGGGTGAGGCAGTGAAGTCTCAGCGCTGTGAGGGTAGATTTACGAGCAATCCCTCTGGGACATGCCGGTGAGTTTGGAACTGAGAGGCAAGGAATTGGTGCCTGGCATTACCATGGAACCCAGGATCTCCGTTTATGGAAAACACAGTATTCTTCACTTAGGAATTCTGTGCTGATTAACGTGGAACAGCATGAGTGAATATTTTATAAAGCACACAGCTGTTGGACTGGGTGTGGCGGCGCAGCCTTTATTCCCAGCACTCGAGGGGCACAGGCAGGAGGCTCTCTGAGACTGAGGCTAGCCTGGTCTACATAGTGAGTTCCAGGCCACCCGAGACCGTCAAAAAAAAAAAAAAGCCAACCCAATAAATATATTTATAATACATAAATATATGTATTTATGTTTTATTATTTTACGTGTATGAGTGTATTGGCTGCTTGTATGTTATTGCACCTGTGTCCTGCAATGCCCGCTGACGTCAGAAGATGTCGGATCCCCTGGAACTGGAGTTACAGACGGTTGTTAACCGGCATGTGGGTGCTGGGATTCCAACCTGGGTCCTCTGCAACAGCAGACAGTGCTCTTAACTGCTGAGCATCTCTCCAGCCCATAAATATATTTAAAATGCATCAATACCTAACTCCGTGCTTCCCGCGCCAGCGCAGGGGACACACACCTAGACTCCGCCCTCAGGACTCTCAGCGCCCAGGCCGACTGCGCAGGCGCACCGGGCGGGGATTGAAGGACGACGGCGAGAGGCGATTGGTTGGACGCTGAGGCCCCGCCCCTCGGTGCGTCAGCGGGTCCGTGGGTGCAGGCTGCAGATTCGGGTGGTTCCGGCGGCGTTCGGTCAGGCTCGGCCTACCACGACCTGTTGCAGGGCACCTGCCGGCTAGGGCGCTGGCCGGGGACGGATCCTCCGCCCGTGAGTCCGGGGACGCGGGGCTCTGGCGACCTGAAGCCGCTGCTCCCACAGCCGCGAGGCGACGGCCGGGCCAGGCGAGGGGCGAAAGGGAGAGAGGAGAGGCCGCGCCATTGGCTGCGTCGGTTTTGGCGCGCTCTGGCGTCCGCGCTCTCTATTGGCTGGCGCGTACCGTGGGGGCGGGGCTGGGGCTGTCGGGGGCAGGGCGCGCCTCTGCGCCTGCGCGGCCCAGAGAGCCTGTGTTAGAGCGGGCCGTGCGCTGGGGCGGAGCCCGCCCGCCAGCTCGGTTCCCGGGAAGGGCGCCCTGAACCTGGTCTGCGTCCAGTGCTGCCGCCCTGGGCGACCCTGGGTCCTCCCGGATATCCGGCCTTTCCCGGACCCTGTCCTGCGGGCTTGGGCCACCGCCCGCACTTGGGAGCTCCATCTCCAAACTCTCCGGAGGCTGAGCCCGGAGGTTCAGGTGTTCGAGGCCAGCTTCGTCCGGAGAGGACTACGTCAGCAACGTTCCCTTGGGTAGCTTTCCGATCAGGTTTTAATCTTTTTTTTTTTTTTTTTCGTCTTTTTGAGACAGGGTCTCCCTGTAGCCCCAGCTGTCCTGGAACTCACAGAGATCCGCCTGCCTCTGTCTCCCTAGTGCTGGCATTAAAGGCCTGCACGCCTGGCCCCCAGGCTTTGCATTACCTGCATGCAAGTGCACCGGGTCATGCAACGCCTGCACGTATGTAAGTGTACCCGTGTCGTGCAATGCACATGGAGGCCAGAAGAGGCCGTCGGATCCCCTGGAACTGCAGTTACAGATGGTTGTTAGCTGCCATGTGGGTGTCAGGAATCGAACCTGGGTCCTCTGCAAGAGCAGCAAGTGCTCAACCGCTGGGCATCTCTCTAGCCCCTGGATCGGGTTTTCTTAACATGAAGAATAGAAAAATCACAAAACACCACACACAATTGATCACGCTTTACTTCATAAGTTTCTATTTGGATATATGTTTTGGTGCTGTATTAATATGAATGAAGCGCTGTCCCACACTCATGTATCCCAGGCTGGCCTCAAGCTTGCTCCATAGCTGAAGATGGCCTTGCATTCCATTTCTCCTGCTTCCACCCAGACTGCTGGGATTAGAGGCTGTGCCAGGGGCGGAACCAGGTTCCCTCCCGCTGCAACGTCTCCAGTCAAAAGCTCTCCGTTGGTTTTTTTCAGACAGGATATTGACTGTGTAGCCTAGGCCGGCCTCCAACTAAATGCCTTCCTGCCTCTGCCAACGGTGTTCCAGCAGTCATGGGCCACCATGGCAGGCAGGATGCTGTTTAGGAGAGATTTGGATACCCAAGTGATGTTTGCCTTTCTTGGCACCCCTTTCTCGGACCCTTGAGATCTCTGTTTCATACAGGACACCATCCCATTCTAGCAAATGGTACTGCTACCATAAAGTAGGAAGGTTTTTGTCATTTAAGTACTTAAAGTCCAGACCTTGCCTTCAGATACAAGTATGTTTTTTCTAATTACTATTCTTCTGTTCTTTACCATCAGAACAATGAATTCCAGTTTGAAGTCAAAACAAGAAGGAATTCCAGAGACTATGAAGGTATATAATGGGGGACCACTTTAAGAGGCTGGGTCTAGCTTTGCCTCCCAGGTTGGCCCTAAACCTGTGGGCTCAAACCATCGGCCCCAGCTTTCAGAATGAATTTGAATTCAGGGTTCCCTACCTGTAGTTGGAAAACAGTTTACGCTTGCATCTATTTTTGGGAAGAGGGTTCATGGACTAGCAAATGGTTTTATAAAATGGTTAAGATTCAGGAACATACAAACGAAGCTTTGAGTTGAGGAGTCTGTTCTTCTAATGAACAGCTTGTATAGAGAAAATAATACACCAGCAACTTGTATCCCTTGGGTTCTCTGTCGTAAAGCTTACATATGTAAAATACAAAGCGTGGAAATGATCTTTGTGTGTGTCAGTATGACAGTAACCCAGCTGGCTCTCTTTGACCATTATCGACATCACACATCTAGTTATATTTTCTTCTATTGGGGACTTGATTAAGCTGTGATCTAAATTCTATCTGAAATGTTGCTGTAATGTTTGTTTGAACCGTAGCTGGCATTTTTCCCTCAGTTAAATGGTGACATAATAACCAACAGTACAAACTTCACCGTGAGAAAGGTGAGCCTTGTCATGTCAAGTGCAGTGTGGAGTCAGTAACTTTCTCACGCTGGTGTGGTGTCATGTTCTCGCTGTCCTTGTTTGAGTATTTACTGTTGTTTGCTAGTCCTTGTGGTGGTGGAACTGATGATTGTTTTTCTCAAAACAGCTTTCAGATCAGGAGACGTACAGGGCTACTTATATGTTATAGGAAGGAAATAATCTGTTTCTGAAACAATAACCTGGGCATTTTAGAGTGGTTTTATTTTATTTATCATTTATTATTTTTGTTCATTTGTTTTTTGGTCTTTTTGAGAGAGGGTCTCCCTATAGCCCCAGCTGGTCTGGAACTCGATATGTAGACCAGGCTGGCCTGAAACTCACAGAGATCTGTCTCCCTCTACCTCTTGCGTGCTGGGGCTAAAGGTGTGCCTCACTATGTCAGGCATATGAAGATCTTCTTAAACAGTACAGATAGTCCTTTTAATTAAAATTTTGTCATATGTGGTTTGAATTGTCAGACTGTAGACATTTTGTTAGGTGTGTCTTAACTAAATAGGATTAGTTTACACAGTGACTTCAGCAAGAATATATATTGAAATGAGAAAAGCTACCTTGTTTGTACCTGGTTTGGGTGATATGGACTTTGCATAAGAATTTCTTCAAACTATTATGATCTTGGGAAATTAAGTTTGCTGGATGATGAAGCCAATGTCTTTGCTTAGATGTATGTAGCATTGTTAAATTGATATATAGCAGAGCAAATCTTGTGTTCCTGGTGATCCCCTCTCAGTTATAGTAAGACTGAGTCTATATAGAAACGTGGAAAGTAATTAGTAACTGGAGAATGGATTACCTTGACTTTTAGAACAGCCCTGTCTCTAGAAGAACTCTGAAGATGATTCAGCCTTCTGCAGATGGCTCCCTTGTTGGCAGAGAAAATGAGGTAGGAGTGTGGGATTACAACGGGATGATATCAGTTGGCATTAAACATTTCCCAGGTTTTCCTGGTATGACATACAGGTGGTTGAAATTTGGGAATAATGTAGTAGTAACAATTATATATTTCCTTAAGAAGTGGGTTTTTTTCCCTCTTAAGCCATCTCTCCAGCTCCAAATGTCATTTTCTTTCTTCCACTTTCCCTTCCTCCCTCCTGCCCTCCCCTCCCTCCCTCAATCCCTCCCTCCTTCCTTCCTTCCCTCCCTTCTATGTATGTGTGTGTATGTGTTAGGCCTTTTTTTTTTTGGAGACAGGGTCTCACTTTTAACTCTGGCTAGCCTGAATTCACTCTGTAGACCAGGCTGGCCTTGAACTCACAAAGATATGCCTGCCTCTGCCTCCCAAGTGCTGAGTTTGTCTTTTATTTTGAGATGGGGTTCTCACTATGTAACTCTGGTGGTCTGGACTCTGCTATACAGACCACTTTGCCTTGAACTCAAGAGATTGGCCTATCTTTCCTGAGTTCTGGGATTAAAGGTGTGCACATCTGATCTGCTCCTCTTTTTTGTTACCCAGGCTGGCCTTGAATTCAGGTAGCTGAGGGTGACCTTGATCTGATTTCTCCCCAGTGTTTGGATTACAGCTGTGTACCTCTACAGCTGTATTATATGATGTTGGGAATAGAATCCAGGATTTTGTGTGTGCGATATGCTCTGCCAACTGACCCGCACCCAAACCCCTTTCTTGAGGTTTTGAATTTTCCACTAACAAGGTTGAAAGTGGCTGGAAATATGAAAGTGGCTATAAATACAGGTAGTGCAGTGATATGGGTCATAAATTGTTGAGAGAAGGAATGCTTGAGATTTTGAGAGTAAAGCATCAGATTGGTTTATTTGCCCCTGTGTGTAAATGAAGAAATTGTAGATGATTACATCCATACTTTTTGTAGGTCGAGAGTTCTGCCTTTCCATGGCATTGATTTTAAAGCAGCATTTAACAGTAAGAATAACCAGCTGAGCGTTATCCCGTCTATCAAAGTAGCTGCTGTAAATACAATTCCTAAGATGATATTACACATTTTAGTAGTTTTAAAGGAATTATTTATTTCTTTTGTGTGTTCACATGTGCTTGTGTGTTTGTATGTGTGCACATGCATGTGGTACAGTGTACACATGGTGGTCAGAGGACAATTTGGGGCTCTGTTTACTCCTTTGATCATATGGGGCCCAGGATGAGCTCATGTTATCAGATGTGACAACCAATGCCTTTACCTCCTGAGCCATCTTGCCAGCTCCATTTTGGAGTTTTTTGAGACAGGGTCTCCTTGTAGCCCCAGCTGGCCTGGAACTTGCTGTGTAGACCGGGCTGGCCTCGAACTCACAGAAATCTGCCTGTCTCTGCCTACTGAGTGCTGAGGTTAAAAGCCTATACTAACATGCTTGGCCATTTTGGTAATTTTGAATTGTATGACTTAAAAAGATAACCTAGGCTGGGTGTAGTGGCACACCCCTTTAATCCCAGCACTTGGGAGGCAGAGGCAGGAAGATCTCTGAGTTCGAGGCCAGCTTGGTCTACATAGTGAGTTCCAGGCCAGCTGGGGCTACAGGGAGACCTTGTCTCAAAAACACTGAAAAAAAAAAACAACTCTAAAGATGTTGTAAAGGTAAAATCATATAAGCTTTTTATACATGAGTGGCAGGATGATATAGCTTGCTTGTAAATTAAATCACAGTAAATAAATGTTTGCATTATAGTTACCAAAAGGCTTGTCCAAAAGGAAACATTGGAACGAGCAGTTGATGTCCAAGACTTGCAGCTCTGGCTCAGAACCCAGTGAAAATAATGTTGGAGTCACCCAGGAAGCGGCTGATCTTATGATTAAAGGTATGAGATGAAAAATAACATAGTCTGTCTTAAGGTTGAAATGATGATGTAAGGTATATAGTCCTTATCCCTATGTGGATTGTACCTGAAACCTTTTATCCAAGGGGTACTATAATGTATGTACTCACATATTTTTTGTTTTGTTTTTTGTTTTTTTGAGATAGAGTCTCTGATGCCCCAGCTGGCCTGGCATTTGCTATGTAGGCCAGACTGGCCTTGAACTCACAGAGATCTGTCTGTCTCCCAAGTGTTGGGATTAAAGGCGTCTGTCACCACACTTGGCTTTATTCACGTATTTTTGATAATTGAAATTTTCTTACTGTAAATAGGCAAATACTCTGGGGAAGCTTTTTTTTTTTTTTTTTTTTTTTTTTTTTTTTTTTTGTATTTTTGAGGCAGAGTCTCCCTGTCGTCCAGCCAGCCTAGAACTCAGAGAGATCTCCCTGCCTCTGTCTCCCAAGTGCTGGGATTAAAGGCGTGTATCACCACACCTGGCCAAATACTCTTAATGCACCATTTGTTTGACAACACCCCATGTGGATGAGATGCTAACAGTAGTGCCTGAGACAGCATCTCCCATAGTAAATTGCCTTGGGGTATAAGACCTGGAAATAGGCTTTTCAGAAGAACAGTGTTCATAGAGAAAGGATTTGAAGAACATGAATTAGTAGGAACATATGAATTACTGGGACAGTGGCACATGTGTGGAGCAGTGGGGCAGTGGCACATGTATGGAGAAGTGGGGCAGTGGCACATGTGTGGAGCAGTGGGGCAGTGGCACATGTGTGGAGAAGGGGAGCAGTGGCACATGTGTGGAGCAGTGGGGCAGTGGCACATGTATGGAGAAGTGGGGCAGTGGCACATGTGTGGAGCAGTGGGGCAGTGGCACGTGTGTGGAGCAGTGGGGAGTGGCACATGTGTGGAGAAGTGGGGCAGTGGAACATGTGTGGAGCAGTGGGGGAGTGGCACATGTGTGGAGCAGTGGGGCAGTGGCACGTGTGTGGAGACGTGGGGCAGTGGCATGTGTGTGGAGCAGTGGGGGAGTGGCACGTGTGTGGAGACGTGGGGCAGTGGCACGTGTGTGGAGCAGTGGGGAGTGGCACATGTGTGGAGAAGTGGGACAGTGGAACATGTGTGGAGCAGTGGGGCAGTGGCACATGGCTGGAGAAGGAGTGAGGAGAAGTGAGAAGTGTCACATGTGCTGGATGTGCGTAGTCAGTGTAAAACCAGAAGAGGAAGTCGTGACTGTGTGGTCCACGGACTGTAACATTTTGTGACGGGGTCTTGAACTAGAACAGTCCTGTATTCCCGCCCCCCGAAAGTGGGGGGTCACGGAGTAAGCCATCACACCTTGCTTACTGGGTAGATTTTTTTCCCTCTGCAGTGGTCATAGGCCACTGGATGCTATCCCTGATAAAGTGTAGCCTAGAGAAGACCATTGGCTTGCTCAAGGCCATAGTCCTGGGGTCGGGGTGGGGGACATTTGGGTTCATTTTGAGTTTCCTAGAAGGTACAGAAGCAGAAAGTTGTTTTTTTTTACTTTTTTATGTGTGGTTTTTGCCTGCATGTGTATAAGTGCATCACGTGAGTGCAAATGCCCACAGAGGCCAGAGGAGGAGTCAGACTTCCATCTCCTAGAACTGGAGTTACAGGTGGTTGTGAGCTGCCATGTGGGTGCTGGGAACTGAACCCTGGTCCTATGCAAGAGCAAACAATGCTCTTTACTGCTGAGCCGTCTCTCCGGCCCCAGAAAGTGGGTTTTATTAGGCAAAGCTGGCAAAGGTTGGCTGCAGAGAAGGAAGCAGCATCAGCAGCAGGGTCGGGAACTGCGTCTGATCAGGTTAGAATCGGTCAGCGTTGGTTACACACTCAAATACCAAAAGTAATGCTGGTGTGCTCACAGATGGAAAATGTCAGTTTAACGTGAACTTAGAACTCTGACTAGAACCTCAGTGGGCTGTTTTGTTAGGATTTAAAGACCCGCAAAGAACTCCTGGACTGTGTTAAATTTGTTTTTGGCAGTGTGTATATTTTAGAGTTGAGCAAGTGAGCATTACGCTGTGCTGGGAGGCAGGCTCAGCGTGGTGAATGCCAGTACAGATGTGGACAGAAGGAGAGGTGCATTCTGTCGAGTTGGAGTTGGAGTTGTCAGTATAAACTGAAAGTTAAAAAAAAAAGTGCCACTGAAGGCCTGAGGACTCCCTGCGGCAGAGCACGCAGGATCCAGGTCTTGGTTTGTAACCTGACTTTGCATTGAAGCTCCTTGGAGAAATGGCTGCTTCTAGGATGGGAGCAAGCTGCTGTAGGGGCTGGTCCTGAAGTTTCTTGTATCAGAATATAAGGCAAACAGATGGACGTGGGTGAGGGACAGGTATCTGAAGAGATTTGCATCAGTGTGTGAGAGGTCAACATCAAGCTGAACAGTGACAGTAATGATTTATAATAAAGCCAGAGGTGTCAGCACACGCTGGTGATTTCAGCTCTTGGGAGTAAAGGTAGGCGGATCAGTGCAAGGTCATCAGCTGAGTATCCAGTTCAAGACCAGCCTAAGGGTACACGAGACCCTGTCTCAACATCAAAGCAAAGCAAAACAGAAACAAAAGGAACTCATGATGCATTTACTAGAGAAGGTCATAATGAATCTATGGTGGTAATTAGGAAATGGGACAGGCCGAGTTTTTTTGCTAAATAATGGCAGCCGTTCTATGTCCATAAATACAAACACTACTTTTGATCCACTGTAGCTATAGAAGATTTAAGAAAGAATCACCAGTAGAGTTAAAATTGGTTGGGGACAGAGTGCTAGCAGGCTCAAGGTTTACACCACAGGTTGTTTACTAACTACTAAGGGAAAGAAAAATTTATAGGGGAGAAGTTTGGTAGACAGCATCTTAATCAAATGATCAAAATTTAGATTTTCAGTTTCATAACAAATTTGTGTGTGCTTCCTGATGATATGCTGAAGATTGAATGTGTTCCTGTGATATTCCTGCCAAAAACGTTGAGCTTGAAACATAAATTAAGAACGGTATGCAAAGTCAGCAATGTGGGCTTTTCAAAGAGAATGCATTCAGCTCACTGGTTGTAGACGGGGGGGTGTATAGCTGTGGGTTCAACCCCCAAAAGGGTCAAGTGAAAATGTGTAAGCACAACACAAATGTTGCAGAAATCTTCAACTGTCTTTTGAGACATCTGCATTTATTTGGCTTATGTTGAATTTCTTCTGAAGGATTGAAATCTTTGATATACTGGGAAAAATAAAAGAAAATTGGATTGCAACTTTTTCTATAAAAATAGTTTTTTTTTTTTTATGTGTATGAGTGCATTGCCTGCATGTGAGTGCACCTGTGTCATGCAGTGCCGCGGAGGTCAGAAGAGGGCTTCGGATTCCCCTGGAACTGGAGTTAAGGATGGTTCGTAGCTGCCATGTGGGTGCTGGGAATCGAACCCGGGTCCTCTGCAAGAGCAGTCAGTTCTCTTAACCGCTGAGCCATCTCTCCAGCCCCAGAAATAGATTGTTTTTATAGTTTTAGTTTTGTTGTTTTGCTTTGTTTTTTCAGACAGGGACCTCAGTCTCCGAGTGCTAGGATTATAGGCACATGCACCACCACAACCAAGGTTGTAGTATTGGTTTTTAAAGTTAAGTGTGAAACTTTGATTTATTCCAGAAAATCCATCCTGTCAGTACTGGAGAGAAGTGGCAGAAAGGCGGAGGAGAGCGCTCCACGAGGCACTGACGGAAAATGAGAAGGTGAGCACTGACTGACGGTGCACCATCCGAAAAAGACCCGGCACTGTCTTTGGTTGAGCAGTCAGACCTGTGTAGACAGACGTGCTTTCATGCTGGCCTCAGGGAAGTGACTGCAGTCAGTTACCAGAGACCCAGTGTTCCGGTGGACGCGTCTGTCGGCTGCTCCTATTGCCAGCTGACTCCCTGCAGGCACGGTGGAGCGCAGCGCAGACACACTCAGTACTGAGCTTTGCTTCTGTCATGCAGCTTCATAAAGAAATTGAAGAGAAGGACAGTGAAATCACCCGGCTGAAGAAGGAGAATCGGGAGTTGTTGGAAGTGGCAGAGCATGTGCGGTACATGGCCGAGGTCATCGAGGTGAGCGACTGGGAGGCCAGCCAAGGCCTGAGCCTGCGTTGAGATCCCTGTGTAGCACTGTTGTTCTTGGATAGAGTGGCTGTTGGGCCTGTCAGGGCTTCATTTTCCTCGTCTATAAAATGGGTGTGATCATGTGTGTATCTGAAGACCAGGGGAAAATGACCATATCATACTAGACACATTTTTAGATGGTTTTATTCTTTACATGTGTGGTATTAACTATGATTCGTAAAGCTTAAATGGGCATTGTGGCTTCATCTGACTTTAAAATTGGAAGTAGCTCATCAGGTTTCTAAAAACTGGCTTGATGTCTGTGACTTTGCCAGGCTTGGCTTGGAATACATTTTAGGACTTTATCATACGTACAAAGTAAATCTTATCTTACTGATGGGAGGTTTTCAAATCAAACCTCACGTTCAATTGCAGTCTTGACATTTTGGTGCCATGCTGGCTCATGTTGGAATGAGCTCGCTGCACTAGCCATAGTCATTCCTTTAAAGCTGACTGGGAACACAGAACTCTGGGTTCTGCAGTCTGCTTCTGGCACATTACGAAGCCCGAGTTTTCCTGGCGTTTGCCAAGGGGTATCACAGCATTGAGGGCAGCCTCTGTCAGTCCACTGATTAATACTGGATGTGAGCTTTAAAGTTTTTACAGTAAATGGCTGCTTTCTTCTTTAAAAGAGGCTGTCTAATGAACCTCTGGTGGAGAGCTTTGAGTCACCGGATAGTCAGGAATTTGGTTCTGACGAGGACACCGTTGAGGATTCTGAAGTTGAAGGCTCAGATGCTGGTTCGCCTGCTGAAGAGATCGTGTCTTCCTCCACGGATGCAAAGCCATGCACGTGAGGTGCGTTAGTGTTTGACCCGAGAAGCACACTGCCAAGGTTGCCTTCCATTGCTCTTGGTGCCAGAGTGAATTAACCATGTGATGCAGATGCTGGGGTCAGGCTTCTGTTTGAATCCTAGGATCCTATTCCATTAAAATCCAGATTGTATGTGTTTTTAATCTATTTTATGTAAATAGCCTTTTCAGTTTCTCAGTGTCAGGCGTGACTTGTGTATGATAATAAACTTCAGTTTCCCATTGAACATTGCAGGTCTTAGAGTGACGTGTTTGGAGTCTCTGCTCTGTTTTCTGTTCTGCCGTGGAGGAAGGCTGGAAATGAGCTTACTCCAGTTTGTGCCATGTTGTAGTTTAGTTCCTCCTGGTTCCCTCTGGCTCGCTGCAGGCATGGTGGCTGTGGTTGCTGGTTGGGTAGTTCCTGGAGTGAAACATGGGTGCGCTTCCCCATGTGACTCTGATTAGCCAGGCAAAGGCTTGCCTGGCCGTGACCATCTTTTTCTCAAAAGTTGAAAGCGATGCATGGTGGGGACAGTCCTCCGAAGCGAAGGCAGTGTTCAGGGGAGAAGCTGGAGAGCAGCCAGGGCCAGGAGGCTTCTGCTAGAGCCTCTCAGTGCAGTGTGGTGTGAAGTGGGAAATGTGAAGTGGGCTGAGCTCTCCATACACGCTGCTTGAAGGAAGAAAACCAGGACCAGACAAGGTTAGCAGAGCATGCAGTGCTGGGGCAGAGTGAACACTGGGGCATGAAGACGGTGGTGTGAGTTGAGGAAGCAATATCGACCTTTGTTTTTATTTTCTTATTACATTTACTTGTTTGTGTGCATGTGGAGGTCAGGACAACCTTGGGAGGTGCTTGCGCATGTAGAGGTCAGGACAACTTCCGGGTGGTTCTCCCTCTATCACATGGGTGCCAGGGCTGGAGCTCAGGTTGTCAGACTTGGTGGCAAGCACCCGTGCCTGCAGAGCTATCTCTCCTGCCCCAGTACTGACCTTTAAAGGATTGTTTTGGGGCTGAAGAGATGGCTCAGCAGTTGGATCACTGGCTGCTTTTGCAGAGGACCCAAGTTCAATTCCCAGCACCCACATGGTGGCTAACAACCATCTGTAACTCCAGTTCCAGGCAATCTGATGCCCTAGAGCATTGTATGACACAGGTGAACTTATATACATGCAGACAATATGGCTCTTAGAGGACCTGGGTTCATTCCCAGCACCCACATGGTGGCTAACGACCATCTGTAACTCCAGTTCCAGGCAATCTGCCCTAGAGCATTGTATGACACAGGTGCACTTATATACATGCAGACAATACATATAAAAAAATAAAAATTTTTCAGGATGCAGAGGCAGGCAGATCTCTGTGAGTTCAAAGCCAGCCTGGTCTAC